TGACCAAGATGGCATGGAAGCTCGGTTTGCTGACTTGTGCAAGGGTTTCCCTTTTCTCCTATTTCCCTTTTCCTTTTTGTATATTATGAATTTTTCTTTTAGAGTTGATCATTTAAATATTTATTTTTGTTTGTTGGCATTCATGGATGTTTATCGTTCTCCTGTGCAATTAACACATTTCTTTCTTACATATGCATTTAACTTTGTTTTTCCCCTTATTGTTCTTTTGATGTTTATTCGAATTGGATGTTTGATTGCAGAATGGCTTATCTTTAGATGAGAACGCTTATGAAGAAGTGTTGAAGCTGTTCAATGAAACTAAACAACTTCTTTCAGCAAACGTTGCTACAATTGGGAGCGGAACTGTACAGAAATCTTTTTCTTTTCGGTTATTTTTAGTCAATTCACATACATGTACACACATATACTTTCTTTTGTAGCACGTGATAATAATTGCATTTCTCATTTCCAGGTGGAAGAGGCGGAGCGTTTTTGGTTTGCATTTGTTTTGTACTCGGTGAAGAGGTTGAGTGAGAGAAATGGAGAGAACGTGCACCAAGGAACAGATGATAGATTTAACTTGTGTCAGATTCTAAGAGTAGCAAAGCTGAAGTACATTATTCTTAACTTGAAATTGCATTTTTTTTTGTTGAAACTGAATCATTAATATTAATTTTTTTGGTATTTTCAAAAAAAAAAATTAATTCTTTGGTATCTGTTGATTGTTACAGTATTGTAGATTTTTTTAAAGAACTACCTCAGTTTGTGGTCAAGGCTGGTCCATTGTTAAGTAGTATGTTTGGGGCAGACTGGGAGAGTAGGCTTGAGGTACATACATGATGTATATCTTTACTTTTTACTTTGAGATAGTTGTCTTATAATCTTTTTTTTATTGCAAAAAAGTGTGTTTGACCCAAGAATCTAAGTATGAATGTTCATCTTTCTCCACTAGGCAAAAGAGCTGCAGGCCAATTTTGTGCACCTTAGCCTTCTAAGCAAGTGAGTGCCTATCTTTAACATCTCATGCAATAAAATTAAGTTATTTGTCATCATCGTTCAATTTTTTGTGGTAGAATGTTGCGTAATTATGAGCTATTTACTTCCTTTCAAGTTATCATGGGTGGAAGTAAGAAATAGCATTTTCTCCCATGATGGAAGTAATATATTACCTTAAGTATAACCATGCACTAGCAACGACGTGAAACAAAAGGAATGAACCTGACAGAAACACTGTAAGCTAGAAGGACCGTCCAGTATGCATTAGAAATAGCATTTATGCCAATGATCTTTATTAACATTCTTCTTTTGGGAAAATGGAATTGATGTGTGACCTTAAGTATTACCATACTTGCAAAGACCTGAGTTTAGTTTTATGAGTTCCAACATTTGTAAATTGTTTAGTTGAAGACTAAAATGCAAGCTGACAAAAAGATTCTCTATTTAGATATGCTGACTTTATAGACTGGATGAGATTGCTGGATTTATGGACAGGACTAGATTGATCAGATGTATCGATAGAACTCATTTATTTTGGTCAAAATGATTGAGATAGCATCCATCTAACTTTTCGAGTTCTCAAATGCTAAATATATAGTATTCTGATTAGAGATAGAATCCATCTGCTTCTTTATTATTCATCCAACTTGTTCCCCCGATTCTGATGAGAGAATCTTATCTAATGACGGCTGGTTTGATCACGTAAATAGACCTGGTTCCGGATTGTAACAGGATAAGCTTCAATATTAATCTATTGTAATTTCATTTCGCCTAGGCCCTGTCCAACCAAGAATTTGGCCCTAGTTGTTTTTCTAGGCTCCCTCAGGCAGTGTTGATACTTGACCAGGCCTTGTCAGTATTATTTTCTTTTAAGGTAAATATATTTCATAAAAGTATGTAAAAAGTATAATATACGATGGTACGAAATTAATTGGTAAAGTAAATAATTTTGGTACAAAGAAAAATCTAATGACTGAGTTTGTATCTGCATACATATTACAAATTTAAATAAGATAAAACATAAAATAAAAATTTAGATTGCTCTGGTTCTAAGTATAAATAACCAAATCTGCTAAGGATTAACCAAGCCCTTAGTTGGCTGTAAAGATGTGGTAAACTCTGTAGTATTTTTAAGAAAACCTGGAAGTTATTGGCCTGGATAGACTTTTAGAAGCGCGGGAGGGGACACAGCCGAATGTCTGTCAATTGCTCATGCTTGTTTGCTTCAGTTTCTTCCCATTATAAATAGTTTCCTTTTTGTGAATCAGAATTTTATCCTGGTGCCTTTATTTTTCTAATCCTTCTTGGTTCATTCTACTCGATCAACAGTTTAAATTGCTATAAGCAGGGGAAAGATGGGAAGTGTTAGAAAGTCCATCCTTTATGTGATATCTGCATTAAACTGCATGGTTTTATACATCTACATTTGTATATATATTCTTACCATATCTCGTAGAATGTGAATTTTTGAAAGAAAAGTGTGAAGTGTATTACTCGTAGGATGTGAATCTCACATCTATTTTTCACTGTAGACATAGTAGATATCGTCTGGTTTCATTGATTTGTGCAATTTACTTCTTTCAAGTTTTTCTCTGAAACTGATATGACATTTTTTTCCATTGTTCAATAATGACAGGTATTATAAACGTGTATATCAGGAGTTCTTCTTGGCTAGTGATGGAAATGTTGAAAAGAAGTCAGTTGCTGCTAGTGCCAATGTTTATGTGTCAGACTATCATCGGTTTGGATGGTTGTTGTTTTTGGCACTGCGAGTTCATGCATTCAGCCGTTTTAAAGATCTTGTGACGTGCACAAATGGTTTAGTTTCTATACTGGTTGGTGATTTTTTCTGTTTTTTTATTCCATTAGTCACTGATTCTAGGACAGAAGATGTTTTCTAGTATTATTCTGTCCTAGAAGTTGCAGTGTAAAGTACATAATACATTTTTACATAATGAATTTTGGCAACAGGCTATTTTAATTATACATGTTCCTATTCGCTTCAGAAACTTCAATATCCAAGACTCTTCATGTTTTGGTAATTTTCTTTCTCATAGGAAGCTTTTGTTAGATTTATTCTCTTCCTTGGGTGGGATGCACCTGATTAATTTATTCATTTAGTCTTTTATCCCCCCTCATTGGTACTGATTATCATTATGTGTGGTTCTAGTTAAGAAAGGCGACAAAGGTGTTGACTTGCTTGCATCACTGTGCAATATCTATGATACTTCAGAAGAGGAGTTGAGGAAAACAATGGAGAAGGCAAATGATCTTATAGCAAGTTTATTGAAGAAAAAACCCTGCTCGGCATCTGAATGTCAAACTGAAAACCTAGAGAATATTGACCCATGTTAGTATATAAGAAGCATCACTCGCATATGCCAACTAATTATAACTCAAGAAATTGCTCTGATTAATATCTCTTTAAATCTGATTGTGTTTTTTGCAGATGGTTTGACCTACTTTGAAGATTTAATGAATGAAACATCTCTCACTTCTAGTTTGAGTATTTTAGAAAAAGATTATGACGAGGCAATTCGCAGTAAAGGTGAACTTGATGAAAGGGTGTTCATCAATGAGGAGGACAGCTTGCTTGGTTCAGGGAGCTTGTCTGGAGGTGTCATGAATATAACTGGTGTCAAGGTACAGACTTTATTCCCTTGCGCAAATGAATTTTTCAAATTCATTTACCAATTTTTTCTCCCTTTTTTTAGTTTCCATGTTTGTGGAGGTTAAATGGTTTGACCTTATAATTGACAATCTTGTATAGCGAAAACTTGATTCACTAACCTCACCAGCAAAGACGATCTCAAGTCCATTCTCTCCTCTTCGCTCTCCTGCCTATAACAGAAGTGGGATTGGTGGT